ATCAAACATTATTTACAGCCACCTCTGTTAATCAGTGCGATGTGTGACTAATCTTTTATTCAATAACCACAAAGTACACAAATACAAGATTAAATGTTTTATTTATCAAAGATTAATGATCACACACAAAACAAAGTTTCTATGAAAAATTACACAGAGTGTAAGAAAAACATCATAACATACTCAGAAATGCTTAATGAAAATCTGACATACTTCCAAGTATATTTGAATATATGTTCAACATATATTTTAAAAGCATAATATACTTAGAAAAGTGTTCACAGAAGCAGTTTTAGAGAACTTACACACCTTCACACTAAACCCGGCCTTCGCTCTCTGATTGGTCAAAGCGGGAGCCTCTCTGATACGGCTTCATTGATCGGTGGTTTTCTCATTGGTAAAGGGTCTCCTCTATTTTAAATTGCTTTATTGGTGGATCGGGAAGAAGTCCCAGCTCGGGGACTTACTTTACCGTGAGTAAAGTAAGTAAAGTAAAAGTAAAATCTTACTTATACAGCAACTTTCAAGTTAAAAATCACAAAGTGCTTCACAGAAGCTAAAACATAAAAATAAAAATTAACCAAAAGCAAGTTTAAAAAGATGAGTTTTTAGCTGTTTTTTAAAAGTGACCATGTGAGTCCACAGATCTCAGGCTCAAAGGGAAAGACTTCCACAGTCTGGGGGCCACAGTTACAAACGCTCTGTCGCCTTTGTTTTCAACCTCGTGTGCTGGACAACCAGCAAGCCCTGATCACATGACCTCAGGGACCTGCTGGGAATATCTGGATGTAAAAGTTCACTGATATATATTAGTGCTTGTCCATGCAGAGCCCTGAATTTCAAAATCATAATCTTGCAGTGGATCAGCAGGGGTGTGACATGGCAGGACTTGGAGGACTTGGTCAGAAGCTTTGCTGCAGCGTTCTGAACAACTTGCAGACGCTCCAAAGAGGCTTTACACAAACAAGTAAACAAAGAATGACAAAAATCCAGACGAGATGAAACAAATGCATCAATGAATTTCCAATTCTGAGCTCGATACAACGGGACTCAGCTTAGCAACGTTTGTCAAGTGATAAAAACAGGAGCGGACCAGAGATTTAACATGAGCATCCAAAGTCAGAGCTGAGTCAATGGTAACACCAAGGCTCCTGATGCAAATGTAGCAAGTGGACCCAAGTTTTCCATAACACTAGGCACAAATCTTTTAGTAGCACAAACAAGAACTTCAGTCTTCTCCTCATTTAGCTGAAGAAAATTATCAGCCATCCAACCTGTAATGGAATCTGTGCACCTATGCAAAATCTCTAATTATGGAAACATCTTAGGGCTTAAAGGAGATATCTAACTGAATATCCTTACAAGTGCTCAATAATTGCTGAAAAGGGAGTAAAGACAACAAGAACAATAAAGGCCCCGAACCTGAACCTTGTGGCACACCATAGGCAAGAAAAGTAGAAGAGGGGCTGTACTTAGAGGTAGCCACAGAAAAGGATCGTTCACGCAAATAAGATTCGAACCATTCAAAGCAGAGCCTGATATACCCACCCAGTGTCTCAGCCTATCCAGCAGAATATGATGGTCCACACTGTCAGAGTCAGAGAGAGTGTCACTTTACCCCCACCGGCTGATGTGTGAAGACTTCTCTGGGATGCTCGCTGATGTCACGCTGAGGTGGAGCGTGTGTGAGTCTGAGTTTGATCCTGATTTTCTTTTTTCTGATTTAACAAGAACAACAGAAATGAATTAAAGCCTTCCAGCGGGGCAGCCTCCAACTCCCCCCATCCTCACTGCTACAAAAGCACATACATACTGAAGTTGCATCTTAAAAAATGGAATGGAGTTAAAGAGATTCAGAAGTTTTCCAAACACAGTCACATTTTTAAAGAATACCTGGAATATATTTATTTTTTAAAAAGTTTAAACATCTAAGACAGGGGTCCTGCCTTTATTAGCCTCATTCATTGAAACATTTTTCTTAATGTGACATTTGTGTGTTTTCTCCAGATAAAATTGAGGATTAGTTTTGCCATGTTCAGATTTTGGGAATGTTCAAGTTCAATATAAATCTTTCGTAATTAAGGATCTGCCTAAAATAGTCATGTCCACCTGAAGCTACAACTCAAACCTCTGTTCAGCTGAATTACTTTGGGGCTTGACATTTTCAAATGATCGTCAACAACACTGGACAGTGTTCATCCTCTCCTGTCTCACTGTGACAGGGGTGTGGTCTCTGCTGCAGTAAAGGTAGTACGGTCAGCTCACGGGGCGGAGCCAGGAGGTCGGAAGGGACAGGTGAGAGGGATTGCAACTAATGAACGCTTTCCCACCTTTTAGTGCTTGGAGTTGGGAAGGAGCTGGAAAAGCTGGCTTCCCGGTTGAATACAAAGTGCTGAAGGAGTGGAGAATGAAAAGTGCTGAAACCAATAATTGAATGCTGTGTGGGTCCTGATCGTTTCACAGTCACTAAACACTAAAATACAATATCATTGGTACTATAGTTACTTTTAAGGCTGCCGTGATTAAATTTAAGGGGGCTTTAGCACCCCCCCCAACAGGGTCTAAAATCACAATTTCTCTGAATGATCCAGTCTTTGCAGTTCTAAGTAATATGTAGGTTACTTAGGCGAGACTAACAGTGTAAGTGACAGTAATATCCATCCATCTGTCTTTTATGATTTAACAGAATAAAAACTTTTCTGACCAACACACAGAAGCAATGATGCATTAAACATGTGAACACTCCACAGACACACCTGTACCAAAACAACTGAAACATATAATCTGCACTTATTCACAAATATATACTTTACTGTTGTTTGACAAGCTGCAGAACTGTGACCTCGCTCTGAGTTCACAGTTAAACATACATGAATATGGCAACAGGGCCAGCGGGAGACCATATGGACACAAAGTTCACAAAGAAAAAATGCGCTGTCACTCACACACGCTGTGCATGAAGCAGACACCTGCAGTACTCTGTGAGAAATGTACACATGTCAGTAAAAGTGTAAAGACTATCTGTCTTAGATTGCAGGGCCAGCAGGAGATAAATAGGGGAGACATTTTATTTAGGTGCTCTAAAAGTATATCAGAGTGCTCCTCAGTCACTCATTAACAAATTCTATGAATTAACTCAGAATTCTCAAACTCCAGTCGTCGAGGGCCGGTGTCCGGAAACTTTTCCATGTGAGCCTGGTGCAACACACCTGAATACAAGTAGTAAGTCATTAGCAAGAGTATAGAACTTGACTGCATGCTGACGTGGCAACCCCTAACCCTACCAACTCAAGTAAAAGTAAGTAAATGTAAGTGTTTGGAAAAATGTGAAATGGTCTGTATTTGTATAGCGCTTTACTAGTCCCTATGGACCCCAAAGCGCTTTACACATCCAGTCATCCACCCATCCACACACACATTCACACACCGGTGATGCAGCTACATTGTAGCCACAGCCGCCCTGGGGCGCACTGACAGAGGCGAGGCTGCCGGACACTGGCGC